TGTGAAGAGTAATGTCAGACATTGAAATTTACATGAGTGAAATTGCAGAAGATTATTTTATTATCAGCATCGATTTGATATTAAAAGTAATTACATGTAATACATGTACATGTATATTGCAACAATCATGTGAAATATGATTCGTTTGTTAATTACTTGCCTGAATTCAAGACTTTGAAGAAATATAAGTACAATGAGTTATCAAAAAGGTCCGGCCTGAATCATTTTTGCACTTTGTGGTAACGATTTTTTAGTTTTTGATACTCAAAGATCCTATCCTGCACAAATTTACCCATATGGTGATGGTATTTTTCAGGATGACAATGCACATCACATAGGTCAAAGGTTGCAACAGCCGTTCGCGAAGCTTCTGGAATCAAGGCGTTATTTAGCCTCCATAAACTCCCGGTTTGAACCTCATAGAAGATTTATGGCATGAAGTGTTCGCGACGATTCCTGCACCGTATTCTCACAGAACTCGAAAAATATGTGAAAGTGGCTTGGAAGGATCTTGCTCTCGAATAGTATCGAAAGTTTATTTATAATTTGCCCGATCGAATTGCCACAACAATACTAGTAAACTTGGAAACCAATATTTAAACTTTATTTATTATCCTGCTTTTGAGTTGTCAAATTTAATGGTTTGTAAGTGGCCGAATCTTTATGATGACCCACTATAAATGCAAATACTAAAGAAAATTATATTCTAAATTTGCTCGACAGTTTAATCATTTATTTTATTATTAGTTTTGCTGATTTTTTTGAAAAAATGCTAATGAATTCTTTTTAAAAAGATTGTTAGCATACTTATTGCATAAAAATACAAGTTATAATTCCTAAATGTGGTGTGGCTGAAATCAATATAAGATTTTGTTACGTACAAAAAAATGGTATTCAAGCATTTATAAAAATGATTTCATTTGGATGGCATTCAATAAAAGTCACATTTATATTTAACCAAATAATCGGATCTAATTTTATTTTTAAATGACATTGACATTCCAATATAGATGCTTTACTTACCATATGACAATTTATGTATTTATCTATTTACTTAACGATAAGAATACTACAGCTAGAATGATGTCATTTGTCGTCATAACACATGGAGAAAACGTGCAACCCAAACGATTTTGTAGTAAACATAGTAGATGTACATGTGTCTGATTATTTTTCAAAATACGCTGCCAAAACCAATTTGAATATATGACTTACCTTTGAAGCAAAATATCGATATTACCAAAAAGATGATAAACATTGGCAATATTTCTTGCGTTATTGTTTTTTCTACAAAATGGAAAAAGTGAATATTAGTGTGAGAAAAGATCTCGCATAATCTAACGATAAGCTCCAATTTTTCGAAATTGAGTATATTGTTTTTATTGTTTCTCCATATTTGGTTCACGGATTTATCGTAATACGTATGAATTGATGATCACGCTTTTACATAGTAAAATACAGCCATCATCCGACTCGGAACTGATTACGTATTCTTTGTGTGCTATAATTTAATTATTCGACTCATTTCCATTTGAGTTTTACGCAGAAACATCCACTTACCAGGCTATCATATTATTGTATTATATTTTGGGATTTTAAAGATATTCTAATATGCATTAGTAAAAGAAGGGTCTTGATTAATTTTTTTACATTTTACATTTTGTCAATTGATCCAATTAAAGAATGAGATACCGACACGATCTATTGGGTGGACCAAGAAAATGTGAATGCCTTTTTCGTATATTGAATATTTTACACGACTGATTCAAGGGAGAAGAATAATTTTGTGTTTTTCTTGTTTTACTAATGATATTATTAGCATTATTTTATGTATATTGTTGTTATATTATCGGTAAGTAAACGAGAAATAGACGAGAAAAAAGTATAAAAGCAATCCTTCTAATCAAGAAAGAGACATGTAGCGAGTACACGACACGAGTAAGTAAAAGCAATTAATTTATAAAATCATTGCAATGATTCCAATTAATCAAAATTATTATATTTTCAAAGTGTCGAAATGTTCATTCCTTTTTAGAATTCCAACTAAACACGACACACAACGCTCTTTTTGTTTTTTTAATGATTAACTCGGTTTAATTGACAAACTCAATTACCCTTAAAATATCGCATATATTGTTTCATTAAAAACCATCAATTAAACTATAATGACGCTGCTCAAATAGCAATATTAACAGTCTTCTTTTTCTTTGTAAATTGTTGAATTCGAACAAATCGTAAGTACATAAAATAAATAATAGGTATTTTTTGCGTTTTGCTATTTGGTGTTATTAAAAAATATACTTAAAAAGAAACTAATAATTACTAAATTTAGAAATATGTTTTCTTTTAAAGAATTAAAAAATATAAGCCAAAGGAGTTTTTATTTTTTATTTTTTAAATTATTTTATTTTTTTACCTTTTTAAAAAATAGATTCTTGAAAACCGACAACGATAAAGAATAATTACGATAAATAAAGAATATTCCAGCCAATCCTATTTCTTTTATCAGGAGCAACTTTGACCTCGTTGAAGTGTTTGTGCTCGACTTCGTAGAAATATGCTGTGCGAACATTTTATTTAAAATTCACCGTTTCCAAACTCAACATTGGCGACACAACAAATGACAAAAGAAGGCGACTCTTTTCAATAAATTCTTTTTTGTCCTTATTACGTCACTGCTTCGCACAAGCTCGTATTTTATTTCAAAATTTTTTTCTACGAGAATCGAATGTTTACCATCGCGTAACACTTTCTTACGCGGCTCCGTTCGAAATTTAACATTCTCCCCTACAAATAAATCAATACATGTACTGTGATTTTGCCATCATCCTTATTAATAATATTGCTGTTGTTATTTATAATAAAAATCTTCTTTCTTACTACTAAAAAGAGGTTGTTTTTTTGCTTACGCGTATGGAATGACGATTACGTTGACAATTGAGCATTATTTCACCAGTCTCTTCATTCAATCCTGTCACTTTAACACCAATTGGATCAGAAAATGTCATGGCACGTTCGTTTATTTGACATATACAGAGTTGAAGAGTATTTGGTAGATGCGAGAATCGATATTTAACATTTTCGTACATGACTTAATGAATAATGTACTTCCATTTTCATTTAGTGCTGTTTTACGCTTATTATGATTGTTATTATGGTCATTACCATTGGTAACAGAAATAGTCGCCGTTATTGGTAATAAATTCTTATTTGTTGATTCTGACAGTGGCGGTGATGAGGACAAGGATTGGATTTGTAATCGAGAAGGGAATGAAATTAATAACTCATGTTTTTCTATTGAATTTATGATTTCCGAGCTCATCAAACTGTCATTATTATTTTTGGTGTTTGTCGAAGATGAATCGACGATGTTATCGTCTAAATAATCATTAATAGAGCTGCGTTTGAGCAATTCGACTAGAGAAAGTTGATATAGTTGTATTTGTAGTTGCTGGGAGTTTTAATAAAGAGCGTGTAATTGAAATCGGAGGAGGATTAAAGGAAAGTGGAGAATTACATTTCAATTTTTATCCATAGTCTTATTTTATGAAAAACGACAGAAACCAGCAAATTATTATACATGTACATGTATATCGGTTATAACGATGTCAGCGTAGATCTACATGTATTGGTCTATATTTGGACACAATTTTCGAAGATCCCAGTTTAATATGATCTGAGAGTTACGTATTAAAAAACGTATTTGATGGAGTTTCTTTGGGGTTCAGGAAGAAACTGAAAATAGCGATTATTTTTTATCTATCTTGAAACACTTGAGGTGGCGTGACGGTAAATGTTACTTAAAAGAACACATGTGAGACATGAATTGAATTATTTTTCTGAGACGACTATTTGAAAAATGACAATACTTAACCTGAATGTGATTATAAATTGGGTGTAGTTTAAATATTAAAATAGTGTTTATCTTTCTTTGATATAAACGGGAAGAGAATCCAATGAAGAAGCTTCAATGATACTCTTAATTTTATAACGTGTCGGCATCTCCATTCGCCACTTGTAAACGCCCTCATCGCTAATATTTCCCTAAAAAGTGTTCGAGCAACTCAATCCTGGATACTCTCTATGCAAATGTTTTTTAATATGATCCCCGAAATTATGTAATAGCGGTGACCCATTCTCTTTAAACGGCTCAACTAGTGGCAACACCGACAACTGCGGATACACAGAAAACCGACATGAGAAAACTTATCGTGATAACAGTCCGGAAATTTCATCGCATTTCCTCGATTACTTGTTCCACCGTTTATATGAGATCATCCAATATTTCGGTGGCTTTTTCGAATGTGAATATATTCAGTCCCGAAGGCGGTTCACTTGATATTTGGAAGTAGTCTAGTTCTTCTTCGAGTTCGAGACGTGTTACGCCGCCGTTATTAACATCCTGCCATGTGACTTTCCGGTTCGGTAGTATTCTAGGATGAATCTGAATGCCAGACCGTTACAGTCGATGAAATATTCGTTGCTGTTTGTTGGGTGCAGCATTTCTCTGTTTCTTTCATGAAACATTCTGCCAAGAAATGAGTTCGGGTATCGAATCAAATGTTGATGTCTCATACT